CTGCTGTCTGGAAGCTCATGACCTGTTTGGAAGCTGCAGGAAGTTATAAATTATTTACGTGAAGGACCATCTTTCACAATGCTTCTAGAGTCAGACGCTGCACTGGCTGCAGTAGGAGTCTCAGTCACTAGAGAAGGACAGTTGAATTTTGTAAAAGGCAGATGGCCAGGAGGATGGACAAACGGTCCTCCTTAGGGACATGTTAACCCTCCCCCAATCTTTGCATGCCAACACTGTTTATTATGCAATTGTGATAGCTGTAAGCTCAGAAAACTTTTGCAGACCCTAGCGTTGTTTTGGAGATATGCCTGGTTGATAATGAAGGAGAAGTCTGGCACCTGGTGATTGAATGGGGAGCCGTGTAGTTAATGCTTTCCACAAAAGTACTCGGGATGTTGTCTCCGTGGAGTCTGAGAGCTCTCTAAGGTCAGCCAACCCCTCCTGCATCCCCAGCTCTCTACCTTTTCCCATCCAACCGGGGCAGAAACTGAGGCCCACCTGGAGCCTGGATTTAGTGCGGCCTCAGGGTGATCATTTTGGACCTTCACCCTGGTGAAGGTCAAATCTTCCTAGGAGGCCCTGCTGCCCCTGAACTGCCATGTGGCCACAGCTGCTGCAATCTCTGGCCTAGCTTGCTAATGAGAACTTTTATCTGTCCTTGCTGTGCACAGATTAATGGTCTCAAATCATTATTCTCCCCACATTACTTTCTTGAGTACCAACCTTTAATGTTTATTGTATGAAAAAAAAATTCCAAACATTGAGGTTTGGCATTCAAGACTTTCTATGTTTCCAACCAAGTCTCCTAGGTCATCTTTCTCTGCTCCCTGTGTGTGCTGTGTTCTGCTGGGGCAGCTTCCTGGCCAGCCCCTCTGCTCTGCTCTCTGTGCTTTTGCTCATATTCCTTTCTTTTCCTGGAAGGCCCCCTGCTAGTCCTCATCCATCTCCAAGGCCACATTTTATGCTGCACCCTTGAGGAGTCTGGTGAGGGTTAGAGGATCCGGTGAACCTAAGTTTCAGACTTTTCTTTACCCCTCTGGTTCTGCAAGACCCCAGGCAGATCACTGACGTCCTCTGGAGCTTTGGCTGCTCACCTATGAAATGAGGAAATCTGCTCTTACACTTGGCCTGGTTGTAAGGGATAAACGGGTTAATCGTATTGTGAAAGGCTCAATTCCTTGTACACCACAGATGTCAAGGAAGGTGACTGATTATTCTGGTTATTAGTTTTCTTTAATCTCCTTTGC